AATGTCGTTGAACGGCTAGACGAAACATTAGTACCTAAAATATCATATTACCCAGACCATGAAATTTTCAACAATGTCCACACACCGAGGACGCAGTTTTAGTTGGATGTGGAATAAAGCGAAACCAAAAATTTAATGACACGCTTTGAGGTTACTAATTGCTACCTTAAAATATGGAAAAATTTAGAGTAAGTCAGGCTATTTCCTTAATAAACTTTTGCTTAGATTGTGATTTATATTCCGCGTAATTAGGTTTTTGTAATTTTCATTTAGTTAAAAGGCGCTACCACCATAAATTAATCAGCGAGGCGGCGCTTTCAAATAAAAGAAGACTTCAATGTTTTTTTTGTTATAAACTATAAATTGTTTAGTAGTTTTCAGATTTTGATAAATGGTCCCTTTTCGTGTTGGAATTCTTAGGTAGCCATTATTTATATATCGGTTAGTTTTGGCTAGTTTGTTAATAGGTATTTTTGAACTACTTCTTATGTTTAACATATACTTCAATATATATCCTATATATCCGCTCCAAGTGCTGAAGATGGTTTATGAATAATTACAAAATAATTACAATTTATTCTTCCTCGTGATGCAGCATTACGCATAAAATTTTGTAAGATGATATTGGTTAGAAGATAATCATTTTTTGAAAATTTTTACTAACCGAAACTATGGTATACCTATTTTCACTAGTTTTCGAGTTATAAGCAAAAGATTGCACATAGTTATGCAAACGTAGATATTTTGATTTTGTTTTACATTTATGGTGAGTGTCAAAGCATTGTTTCAAGAACGTGCAGAAGTCTTAATGAACAATATTCGAATTTGCCACCAATGAATGCGGAAAAGTTTAAAAAAATTGAAGCAAATTTTGAAAACCTATGAAGAAGGGAACTTCCAAAACCTGTTACATACCCAGAAGAAAATGCAATGAACGTTTTAGCATATTTTGATTACATGCGTCTATTCCTAGCGTTAATAGTATATTATGCAACAAGTGCGGTAAACGGCATTTGACTCACGAGTTTATTTGACACGAGCGGAGTGAGCTTTTAATAAACGAGTGAGTTAAAAAGTTGACCGAACGTGTTGCATACTATACTGTTTCTACGACCGTTAGATTTTGGGTCCATTTTCGCGAAACAATACTGATACATTCAAAGACATGACCGTCAGAATTAAAAAACGTCAAAATTAGAAACGTGGAAAATATCTCCGAAAACATCGGAAAGATTTAGGCATATCTCATTCGTCCATTCAACGGATACTGAAAAAACGTAATATGCATAATCACAAAATAATTACATTACAATCTCTTCTCCCTCGTGATGCACCATTGCGCGTAGAGTTTTGTGAGGTGATATTGGTTAGAATATAAGAAGTTCGAAATTTTTTGAAAAGAATTATTTGGACCGACGAGTCAAAATTCATCGTGTTTTGTTTGTTGATGGATGTTGATACAAAACAGGTTTTTGTATCTACAACGAGAATTTGAACTAGGAAAAATGTCTGGATATTTTACGAACAGTTCTTACAGATTTTTTAGCCAAGTTGCCATTAGCGTTACATGGCAGTTGTTCGTACCAACTTGATGGAGCTCCTGCTCATTGCACAATTAGAGTAAGTCAAGAACTTACAATCATGTTTGAAAACCGTCTAGGTCGATTTAATTGGTCACCGCGTTCGCCATATATCTTTGGGGCGCTAATAAAGAAAGATTGTATAAAACTCCAGTTGGAACAATAGAAGATTTTGATTTCAACAACAACAACTTGATCCAAACGAGATTCAAAGGGCAACGGTTTCAAATGTTATGAAGTCCATTCGTGGATGTCTTATAGCAAATGGAGGTCATTTCAAGCATAATATCTAGTTGTATGTAATTAAAAAGAATTTAAAATCCTTTATTAGTCTTTAACATTAGCTTTGTGTATAACAGTTTCTGTGAATATTACATTTTTGTTGGGATATGTATTTCCTTCCGGTTAGACTCTTAAAATTACTTATTTGAACACATTAATAACGGAATATTAAGTTCATTTATGTCGTAATTTTTTTTACAAAAAACGTTACCATGACCGACCACAGCCTGTTACCCAAATGAAATGTGTTTGCTATAATTAGCTTTAATTGCAATATTTGGTTTTCTGCTTGTAACTTGAAAATCAGTAAAAATAGATATACCATAATTTGGTACTTTTAAATGGCAAATTAATTGTACATTTACTTGAAAATACAAAATATGGGGTGTTCCATTTAAAATTCCCACGTAACATGGATTTTCATATCTTATCAATTTTGCCTTATCTTACGAAAGCACTGTACGGGATAAGTTAATTCTTATACTATATTGTGATAAAGCAATTTAATAGGGAACCGCAACTAAAAATTCAGGTGTTCGGGTTGCGAAAAAATTATTATTATATGTCGGGTTGTTTTTTGCCAAATTTCCTAAAAAAGTATTTTTTATCTCCGAGAATGTTCAAGATCGATAGGTACATGTTACATAAACAAGTTCCAGAATGTTTCTGCAGAATCTAAAAAACGAAAGGTGATATCTGGCAACACACCATGGTCAAAAATAATTTTACATAGGTAGCTCAATATTCGCTTACGTGAGTAAGGGAAGCCGATTTATTTCTGACTACCTTTAATTAAATTTACACCAACCTTTGCGAAGCTTCTAGCCATCGTGTTCCACTCTCCCCTATTTATAATGTTATATATAATATTTATGATTATTTATCAGAAAGTATTTATTAAAAAAAATGTTTTTGGCATTTACAAGATTTTCGAAATCTCTGGCTTCATGCTAAATGAATAGAATTATCCAAAAAATAACACTTTCAAAAAATTAATTATGATTCGGTTATAATAATATGCAATAGCGCTCGTTTACCCGTGGTATTACGCAAAGGGATAAAAATGTACAAATAACCAGAATTGATAATTGTAATAACGAAAATAGAAATGTTGGTTAATTTTTGAGGTGGGCCTTATTTTCGCATACTATACTATACAATTTTCCCAAATTATAAGTGGCTTCTCTAATTTTCCGCCGATCGATTTGTTAACGACGTGATCACAGAAACGTGTTTCAACCATTCGAAAACAACCACTAATGAAAGTCGGACATTGTCGAATTTAACGCAATCAAAGGCCCGAACAAATTTGTTTACGTAGTCGGTTGCGGCGGGGAGTTTTTCCCAAAGTTGTTAAGGTGCCGGCGTTGCCGCAACTTTAATTGCTTTTTATTTGCGCTTGTTTACTCTTTTACTTTTGGCGTTTCCCTTTAAAATTAAGGATGCGTTCGTGGGAAGCAGCTGGACTTCGTCGTGTGCTGCAAATATTACAGGTGTTAGCTTGCTGTTACAGAAAAAGGTTAAATAAAAAAGTTATAAGAAACAATTTAAAATTATTTTCAAATTTACAGGGTAATTCATAAATATATGGGAAATCAAACTTATATATTTTTAAATTGAACACCCTGTATAATTTGGCATTAATAGATACTCCCTTTTATACTCAATCACCCAATGTAGTTCGTCAAAAATGCCCTGTATTTATTTGATTATTGTATAGTCACTTATTTTATATTTGCGTTAAGTTAGTTTGAATCGTTTATACAGGGTGAGTCAAAATTAAAAAGATAAATGTTCGTGAAAAATTAAATGGAACACCCTGTATATTGTGCTTTAATAAATACTTTTTTAATTTTATTAAGCATTTAGTAGTACTTTCCGAAGTATATACATTTTTACGAATAAAATATTAAAAATTATCAAACCCTGCGAAAATATCACAAATGACTGAGAACAACATAAATATTACCTGAACGTGAAAAGTCTACAGAGACGAATTAAGTAAAATTCTTTCAGATAATAGCATTCGTTACGTGTTAGTACAAAGTGTAGTGCGAAAATCATTTATTAAATGTGAGATTTAAACAAATATAAAATTATGAACTGCTCAACTTTGGAAAAACAATTTAAACGCTACTTTACGTCATGGATAACATTAAAAGTGCAATATTAATATCGCTAACAATTTCAGAAAAAACGCTTACAAACTGCGAAACAGAATTATTTAATTAAGTTTCACTTTATTTATTGCACCGAATTCGATACATGCTCTAACGCGGTCTTTGAGCGATTGGGCAGTATAATAATAATAATAATAATAAGGCAGAGGAGCTCTAGCTGAGGCTTGCTAGTGCTTTGGGGAGCAACGACCCCACCTACCCCAGTTGGTAGCCCCTGCCTTAAAGGGACCGCGGAGATTTCACCGGCCCGGTCACCGTGACTGGGGCGTATGAGAGCTCCGCGGGGATGGCGTCTGTCTCTAGAAGAGCGGCCGTCCAACAGCGTCTGTACCTCATGTCAGAGGCGGCTGGGAATAAAGGCTATCGGAGGCCTGCCAGCAAAGGCTTACTTTGCAATACCCAAAAATTGGTGATGGTACAGACAAGGAAATATAGATACTCGGGCGGTGAAGAGTTGCGGGCTGACTCTTCTCGGAGCCGTCCGGAGGTTCAGCCTGGCCTGGAGAATCGTGAGGCGAGTGGCGCGGCTTCAGGTAGCGGAACCACAAGACGGCAAACGACAATGGCTAGAGGAAGAACGCCGACTCATTCAGAGGATTTGACCCAGCAAGAAGCTGCAGTCACCCCAGAGATTGCCAGAAACATAACGCGCAGGTACTACTGGTCTACTCAAGACAATACTGATTTAATGCGTGCGTACTTCCTCTGTACGAATGGTGAACGGGAAAAGCAGGGATTTAGAAAAAAACTAGTAACTGAATCGACCCGAGCTAGACCAGACTTAAAATTCGGAGAACAAAAGCTAGCTGGTCAACTAAACTCAATCAGGGCTCATAAACTTTTGTCACAGCTGGAGATCGGAAAAATTAAGCAAGAGGTTGAGACATTGCTGATTGGACATAATAATGACTTACCTGAACATGATAATGATAATATCATTTTTAACAACGATAATTTACCTGATGGGGTCGCTGAGGTTGATGAAGAATTGACTGCTCACAGCAACAGAAACGCAGAAGTCGAACCTGAAATAGAAAAAACAGAAATATTAGATATGTTCGCAATATTGCAGTGGCATGGATTGACTATCAAAAAGCCTTCGATTCGGTGCCACACTCTTGGCTAATTGAATGCTTAAGACTCTATAAAATCGATGAGAAGATAGTCAATCTATTAGAAAGGTGTATGAAAAACTGGCAGACCAAATTAGTTGTAAACCTTGATACTGGATCTGTGAACACCGAAGAAATACCAATACGAAGTGGAATCTTCCAGGGCGATGCGCTAAGCCCTGTATGGTTTATCCTGAGCCTGAATCCCCTCTCCTGGGCCTTAAAAAGATCGAACCTAGGATACGAGCTGAAAAATGGAGCCCAAAAGTATAAACTAAGCCACCTCTTTTACGTTGACGATCTGAAGCTATATGCGGGATCTGAAAACACACTGAATAGATTAATCCAACTCACACAACAATTCTCAGATGACATCAAAATAAGATTCGGGTTGGATAAGTCTGCCAAACTTATAGCCCATAAAGCTATACCAAAAACTTATGATAAGCTGGAATCTGAAACCGAAATAATGTATCTTAACAACGCGTATTATAAATATCTAGGATATGAGCAGAATCTTAATATTAATCAGAACAATGCTAAGGCTAATATAGAAACTAAACTGCAAAACAGGGTGATAAAAATATTAAAAATCGAACTAAACAGAAAAAACAAAATTAAAGCTGTAAACACATGGGCGGTACCGGTAATCACGTACACGTTTGGTATATTAAAATGGTCTAACACTGACTTGGAGAGGCTGAACAGGAAAATAAGGACCCTCATGACAGAGCATAGAATTCACCATCCTAAGGCATGCACTGAAAGGCTATACTTACCAAGATCGATAGGCGTCAAGTAAATCAGTTAAAGAAGTTCTTCCACCGTAAAAAAGATACTTCGACGTTGCATAAGCTCGCTTGTCAGTCGGATAGATACTCAGCTGTAGATCTCAGAAAAAATGAAATAAAAGAGATACCAACACTTGATGAGGTAAAAGAGAAGTGGTTGAGTAAGCCCCTTCATGGAAAATATCCAGCTAGTTTAAAAACTGCTGGGAGCGAATCAACAAATTGGTTAGTTAAGGGGGCAGCTATTCCCTGAAACTGAAGTATATCCAAAAGATCAGAATAGATGATGATAAATGTCGTATGTGTGGACGGGTGCCAGAGACCATCGAACATGTAATAGCAGGATGTCAAACGCTAGCTCCGTCTGAATACACCAAAAGGCACAATTTAACAGCAAATATTGTACACCAAGAACTAGCAATGCTATGCAACCTGGGAGAGGGAAAATACAGTCCATATTTTAAATACATACCTGCTCCAGTTCTTGAGAACGAAAATTATCGGCTATACTGGGATACACCTATAGTAACAGATAAACCAATAGCCAGCAATAGACCAGACATTATTCTGCTGGATAAGGCTAATAAAAAGGCGTATTTCATCGACGTCTCACATCCCTCGGACCACAACCTGGAACAGAAAGAGAGAGAAAAAATTAATAAGTATTACGACTTGGCAGAGGAATATAAAAAAATACTCACCCTAAAAGCAGTACATGTTATCCCTGTAATTATATCGGCCACTGGGCTAGTTACCAAGAAGCTTGCAGGATACCTGGAAAGACTGAATATAACGAATAAAACCATCGTTACAAAAATGCAAAAGTCCGTAATACTTGAAACTTGCAAAATCGTCCCAAAGACCCTGAATATCCCGGAGACATAAACCTTTCCCCCCCCCCCAACTTTAGTGACTGGTTAATAAACCCCACTAAAGCTGCTACCCTAATAAGGAGAAAAAAAAATAATGATAATAATAACAATATTTACAAAATTCAGAAAACACCATCCAAAAGCGTCAGTTGAAAGAATAAATCTACCAAGAAAAAGAGGAGGAGAGGAATAAAAAGTGCTGTGGACGCTTGCAGTCAACAAATCTAAAGAAATTTATTCCATCAGCGAAACAATGAACTTCACCAAGCCATAGTGAGAGCGGATACAGGATATACTCCTCTAAATTTAAGCGTAGAAAATTTTGAGCCATTGGGCACAGACAGGCGTTCAAATGAACTTGTTACGTAACTTTTGTGTTGCTACGAATATAGAAGTATTCACCGACCTATATTTTAATTGGGCGCCAAGTGTTTTATCACTTACACGCACTTGTCTGAGATTAAAGAAAACACTAAAAATCTCAGCTGGGACTGGATATTACGCTAGGCAGTGGGACATAAAACGGTTGATGAGTTTCAAGTAAAGTTTAATAAAATAATATTGATTGTATAATACAACCGGGCGACTTTACAATACGTGATATCCTATAGCAACCTGGTGTACTCTCAAGAGCCACAATTGGCCAATAACATTCAGCTAAATCTAGATCATATCTTAACTGTTGAAAACGAAATTAAATTCGGTTGAACCACATAGTAAGGTACAGAAACAATATAAGTACGATGTTCATGGAACACCGAGTGCATACTAAGTATAAGAACGATTTGCAGACTGTTTTTTTATTCCCCTAGGGGGCACTTATCTATTGTCGGGTCGAAATGGGAATGGGAGAACTCTCACCTCTGTGTTGTCTCGATCACCTAACTGACTGAATAGAATCAGTGATACGACGAAGTTCCGAAATACCATAACACCAAAAGATAACCATAAAATCTTCGGCTTGAGTGAGAATACAATGACAAATCAAATTTTCAATAGTCAAATTGCAAATATAGCTTCAAGCTAGCAGCTAAAAGTTGGCAGCCAAAATTACGGAAAGAGCCGAACAACCAGTGGCGGTGGAGATTTCTAAACCACTTTAGGAAGCATTAATTAAATTAAATAGATCTTTCGCTTTGGTTTGCAGAGAAACTGTTCGGTTGCAGCCCTGCACGGGGGTTGCTACAGGGTGAAACTAAAAAGTTATAAATATTTATTCCTATTTTAATTGAAATTTACATATATTCCTTTCTTGATGAAAATGTGTCCACAAAGGTTGCTATCTGTTTTCAGTAAAAATATTCTTTTGCACTCTCCTAGGGGAGTTGCTATAGGGTGACACATAAAGTTTTTTTTTTTTACTTTAATCAAAATTTACACACATTCATTTCGTAATGGAAATGTATCCACAAAGGTTAGTTTTCGTTTCCAGTAAAAATATTCCCTTGCACTCCCGTACATTACATACAATTACATACTTTCATTTCTTTATGAAAATGTGTCGACAAAGGTTAGTTTTCGTTCTCAATAAAAATTTTCTCTTGCACTCCCTTACTATGGAGTGAAACAAAAAAGTTTTAAATATTTCATTCATGAAATGAAAGTGTTCAAATTTTTATTAAAGTAGAAAAAAGATGTTTCAAATTTTAACGCCGCCACTGGTTGTTTGGCTCTTTCCGTAATTTTTGCTGCCAACTTTTAGCTGCTAACTTCCCACCGGTCGTGCTACCTAGATTAGTTCTCCCAACCGCACCTACTAAACTAACCTTTTTTTGTAAGGAAGAAAAAAACTTAAAAACTAAGAATAAAACTTCAAAACAAAAAAAAACTGTTTAATTAAGTTTCACTTCACTTATTGCTCGAAATGTCTCCCACCGACTTCAATACACGATCTAAGGTGTTAAAAATATTCATTAAAAAAAATAAAGTTGGTTACTGGCACAACGGAAAACTCTGTATATAAAATATATACTTGGAGTCAAACACTTTTTGTATTTAACTGTTTTTCTTAGTATCGTACTTACTGAGATAATGTATAGGACCATTTTAAATAGACTGTGATGAAATGTGACATACACACTATAACTGTATGTCATCTGTAGGGACTTTTAGAAGAAAACCAATTCTGAACAAATATAAAAAAAATGTACGCTTCGTTGTAGCGGTAGTTTTGTCGAATCAACGCTTGAGGCAACCCCCACCCCTGCCACGGATGAATCCCACGCGACATTTATTAACGGTTTTGCACGTCCAACAGGAGTAACGATAATCGCCAGTTGCTGCATACACCGTCGACTTGTTCTATTTTCAATTCATGCCGTTTACGTGCCGCCATACGTATTTCCCTGGCTTCCATTTTTCTTTTTTCGCCCCATGAATACATCAGACGACATTTCGGATTTAATGAAACTTTCGGTTCGTGCACTAAAGCGTAAAATGCACCCGGCAGCCCTCATTTGCCCGCCACAATGTTGAAAACCCAGGGGCGATATTAAAATCGACCAGTTCATTACTGATCTTAATAAAAAACAAATCTTCCTATACACATGCTGGGTAAGTAAGTACGGAAATATTGTAAGGGAACTCCCAAAAAACATATCCAATGTTGCCATACAGAAAATAACACTTTTTCCGCTCGCATAACCCCAAAAAATAATTTAATTACTATTTTACAATCTCGAAAAAATCTAACATTATCCCAGAGATTCAACCAGACCATTAAAGAGCCACTTAGATGAGCTTCAAAATGATGTATTACTCAACCACCTCGTCGGGAATATATAAATCTACCCACAATTAGGAAATATCCAAAAGTTTGTTATATTTATTTCGCAATTTCAAAAAAATCAGATATCCCAGATATTGAATTAGAATATTGAAGAGCCACTTAGGAGAGCTTCAAAATGATGTATTACTCAACCACCTCGAAACTCTCGAGAAGATATAAAACTACCCCCAATAATGAAATGCACAAATATTCATTATATTTATTTTGCAATCTCAAAAAAATCTGACATTGTCCCAGATGTTGAATTATACCATTTAAGCGCCACTTAGGAGAGCTTCAAAATGATGTACTACACAACCACCTTGAAGTGGTCGGGAAGGTATAAAACCACCCCCAATAATGAAATAACCAAATACGCGTTTTATTTATTTCGGAATCTCAAAAAAATCTGACGTTGTCCCAAATATTGGATTAGACTATTGAAGACCTACTTATCAGAGCTTCAAAATGATGTACTACCCAACGACCTTGGAGCATTCGGGAAGATATAAAACTACCCCCAATAATGAATAGCCTAATACGCGTTTTATTTATTTCGTCATCTCAAAAAAACCCGACGTTGGCCCATATATTGAATAAGACCATTGAAGAGCCACTTAATAGAGCTTCAGAACGATGTATTACTCAACCACCTTGAGACCGTCTGGAGTATATAAAACTACCTCCAATTATGAAGTAGTCACAAGTTCTTTATATTTATTTCGCAATCTCAAAAAAATATGACGTCCCAGATATTGAATTAGAACATTGAAGAGCCACTAAGGAGAGCTTCAAAATGATGTATTACTCAACCACCTTGAAACCGTCTGGAGTATATAAAACTACCTCCAATTATGAAGTAGTCACACGTTCTTTATATTTATTTCGCAATCTCAAAAAAATATGACGTCCCAGATATTGAATTAGAACATTGAAGAGCCACTAAGGAGAGCTTCAAAATGATGTATTACTCAACCACCTTGAAACCGTCTGGAGTATATAAAACTACCTCCAATTATGAAGTAGTCACAAGTTCTTTATGTTTATTTCGCAATCTCAAAAAAATATAACGTCCCAGATATTGAATTAGAACATTGAAGAGCCACTTAGGAGAGCTTCAAAATGATGTATTATTCAACCACTTTGGAACCGTTTGGAATATATAAAACTACCTCCAATTATGAAATACTCAGAAGTTCTTTATATTTATTTCGGAATCTCAAAAAAATATGACATCCAGATATTGAATTAGAACATTGAAGAGCCACTTAGGAGAGCTTCAAAATGATGTATTATTCAACCACTTTGGAACCGTTTGGAATATATAAAACTACCTCCAATTATGAAATACTCAGAAGTTCTTTATATTTATTTCGGAATCTCAAAAAAATATGACATCCAGATATTGAATTAGAACATTGAAGAGCCACTTAGGAGAGCTTCAAAATGATGTATTACTCAACCACCTTGAAACCGTCTGGAATATATAAAACTACCCCCCATTCTGAGATGCCCTAAAATTCGTTTTTAAATGGTTGTCATATTTCAAATGTTAAATTGCACACCCTGTATAATTTATCATGCTATTATTATTGCTACAGGCAATTTTAAGTTAATTTTCAAAAGATGTATATGTCTGTCTCTTTTTGTTTTTGAATTATTTGAAAGAAAAATTAAAACCAGCATGATAACTATTGCTCCTCATCCGGAAACAATTCAAATTGTTTTTTCTTTAAATCGAACACCCTGTTTCTCTAAACTGTATCAAGTATAGACTTTAGTCCCCTGTCGAATATCAGCGTTCCCTATACTGGAAATATTTTATAATGAAACATAATATGCAATTGTTATTAATCCCAAATGCTGAAATTTGTGCGCATATGTTGTTCTGGAAAACTTTTAATAAACTGCTAAATATATATAAAAATGAAAAATACAAATAAAATTAGAATCTGAATTTCGAGTCAAAATCCAAATCTTGTGATAATCTAATTATTGGGGGTAGTTTTATATCTTCGCCACCGTTTCGAAGTGGTTGAGTAATACATTATTTTGAAGCTGTCCTTAGTGGCTCTTCAATGTTCTAATTCAATATCTGGATGTCATATTTTTTTGAGATTCCGAAATAAATATAAAGAACTTTTGAATATTTCATAATTGGAGGCCTTTCAAGGGTCTAATTCAATATCTGGCACGTCTGATTTTTTTTGAGATTGCTAAAAAAAACGAACTTTTGGGTATTTCATAA